AAAAATCAAGGGAAAATCTCGAGAATTCCTCATAGTGAGTGTTTCAAAGAGGCATCATTGCTGCATGATGACTACATAGAAAACAAAGATGTAAGCAGTGCATTCAAGGGCTTGAGTAATTAAATGTGCAAATGAACAACAATCAGATATTCCTTCCTTATCTACCACTCTGGTGCTCTGTGTCCTGACTGCATGGTGGACTGTTCTGGTCTACTTGCCCTTTACCATGTTGCTGTGGTGACAATGTGCTGCGACATTGCACGTCCACCAGAGTGCTGTGGCTGAGCCCTGACTGTCAACCCCTAATATTCTAGGTGCTCCAAGGAGTTGAACCAGTGGGAAGCCTTGACTGAGTATGGCCAGTCCAAAGGCCATATAAACCCCTACCTCGTCCTAGAGTGTGCGTGGCGGGTGTCCAACTGGACTGCCATGAAGGAGGCATTGGTGCAGGTGAGGTGCCCTCCCCTGCCCTGCCGTGGTGTTAAGAGAATGCTGGCCCACCCAGGGCCCATCACTGATTTTGTGTGTGCGTGCGCGCGTCCTATGTATTTCTTTGTTGAGCTCACTCTGGGTACTTTGGCAGTTGAAAAGTAGCTCTTAGGAGAAAAAAGGTTTTTTTTCTTTTTTTGTTGTTCCTGTTATTTCTTTTGTTCTCAGAAGATAATGTTTCCACTTACAGCCAGCTTTTTTGCTTTGCACAAGTGCCAAAATAAAATGAGCCTTTTTGCTTCTGAATCTCTATGCTAAGAAGACTGCTCTCTCCTTCCTCTGATCTTTGGCCACAGGTAGAAGTAAGTTGTCCCAAGGAGATGGCATGGAAGGTCAACATGTATCGCGGGTACCTGGCCATCTGCCACCCCGAGGAGCAGCAGCTCAGCTTTATTGAGCGCCTGGTGGAAATGGCTAGCAGTCTGGCCATCCGAGAGTGGCGGCGGCTGCCCCATGTGGTGTCGCACGTGCACACGCCCCTCCTGCAGGTGAGCCCACCCCTTCCCCAGTGCAGCTTCCAGTCAGCGCCACAATCCAGGCTCAAGCCTGTGGACTAGGCCGGAGCAGAAACTCTGCTTTCTCCTCCCTTCCCACTGCTGATTCATTTCAGGGAGAGAGAAGCCGGGTCAAAACATGGAGGAAAAATAAGTTACATCTCACTTAGGGGATTTCTGGGGGATTTAGGTTATGATGACTTAAGACATCTTTGGTGCCTACTACCATCCCCAATATGATGCCCACTCTGTCCAGTAACCCAAGTCTTATGGATGCATGCATTGTAGCCATGTTCCAGCCACTGTGAGCTGCTGAATCCTTCCTCAGGCTGCCCTCTGCCCTGAACACACTGCTCTCAGCAGAACTCCTCACATGTCTGCTGGCCTCCACACATGCACATGCCCTCGAGCTTGCACACCCAAGCCCGTGCCAGCCGTAAGCGCTGTCTTAGCTGTGGTGCCTGTCATGGAGCAGCTGCAGAGTCGAGAGTGAGCTGATAGACCAGTGTTTTCGCCATCACCTTGCGTGTCATACTTTGTCCACAGTGATTTGAGACTAATCCAGTATACTGATTTCTATTCTAGTGTATAAGTCTTTTCTTTGTTGCTAATTACAATACCACAGACTGGCTACATTATAAAGAAAAGAGGTTTACTTTTAACTGTTTCTAGAGGTTGAAGGACCATACCTCATGATAGGCTTCTTGTGGCAGAAGCTGGAGGTTCTGCAGGGTATTAGAACCAGAGCGCCTGAGGACATGTGTGTGCTGCTTCTTACCTCCATTACACAGATAACAACATTAATCCTGATGGCCCATTCCATCCCAGTGGCCTCCCCCAAGCTCCCATTGCAGAGCATGGTTGGACTGAGTCTATCCCCTCAAATCTACTTTCACAGTAGCGATGAAATTCCAGCATAGGTTCTGAAGAGGAAAAACCATATTCAATCCATAACATTATAGTAGTTTCTAAAGGTTCTTAGACCAGATATTTATTGAATAATGACTTATGTGTATGTTTTTACTTTGTATCTATTCCCTTTTGAGGGTTTTTCTGAGAGTATGCCCTAAAGTAGTATTTAGTTTTCAAATATATAGTAGTTCTCATCCTTATTACTAAACTACTGTATTCTAAAGCTTTTGCTTAAGACTAAGATTCTACCAGTAAGCCACATTCCCAGCCCCTACTTTTGTTTTAAGTGTATGTTGTGTACATGATATATTTAGTGGGTGGGTACAGTGTATATTGAAATGGATTATATCAATTAAAAATTTAGTATCTGACAAACTGATTTTTGTAATGAAGCTGCGCAGTCTGTTTTTGTGTGTGTTTGCTGGTCCTGGGGCTTGAACTCAGGGCTTAGGCACTGTCCCTGAGCTTCTGCTTCTTTATTTTTTTGGTTGGTCATGGGACTTGAACTCAGGACCTAGGTGCTGTCCCTGAGCTCTTTTGAGCTCTTCCACTTAGAGCCACAGCTCCACTTCCAGTTTTTGAGTAGTTAATTGGAGATAAAAGAGTCTCACCAGGACCTTTTTGCCTGGCGGGCTTCAAACTCTGTTCTTCAGTTCTTAGCCTGCTTTGTAGGATTACAGGCATGAGCCATGGGAGCCCAACTCCTGAGCTGGTTTTGCTCAAGACTAGCACTCTATCACTTGAGCCACAGTACCACATTTGGCATTTTCTGGCGATAAGAGTCTATTTATAGCCTTTCTTGCCCGGGCTGACTTTGAACCTTTATCCCCAGATCTCAGCCTCCTGAGTAGCTAGGATTATAGGCATGATTCACCAGAGCCCAGCAAGAAACAGTCTTATAAGGCGTATTATTTTTAATAAGTAGTCATAATTTACAAATAGTATTATAGGGGCTGGGAAGGTGGCTCAGTGGCAGAGCGCTTGCCTTGCATGCCTGAGGCCCTGAGTTCGATTCCTCAGCACCACATAAGCAAAAACAAAAAAGCTGGCGGAAGTGGCGCTGAGGCTCAAGTGGTAGAGCGCTAGCCTTGAGCTGAAGAGCTGAGGGACAGCGCCCAGGCCCAGAGTTCAGGCCCCACGACCGGACCCAAAAAAAAAAAACAAAAAAAAACCCAGATAGTATTATAGTCTCCATTCTGTGAAATTTATCACAGGCCTACTAGTGAAAGCTTATTCCTCTTATCTAAAAATTTTCATCTAAAAGGAATGTGCTCAGAACCTACTAGTAGCCCAGAGAGAACTCCCGAGCTTTGGGATAGAAAAATCATTGAGTGGAAATGGAGCCTGCAGACAGGGAGATGGAGCAAATAGAAGTTCTGGCAGAGGGAATATGAAACATGGAAGACTAGAAGCTCTGGTTAATGAGGTTCTACGCCTACCCTACAAACCCCCCAGTCTCCTATCACTGCAGCCCAAGCAGGGTGGGTGGGTGTCTGGAGCAGTGTCAGGGCTCTGGTACCTGCGTGGAGGCCTTCCTTTGGTAACCAGCTTGTGCACTGACTCTGGTTGGTTTCTCGTGATCTCATGGAGTGCTTACTGGGGAATCCTTTGCCCTCCTCCCATTAGGCAGCTCAGCAGATCATCGAGCTTCAAGAAGCCGCCCAGATCAATGCAGGCTTGCAGCCCACAAACCTGGGGAGGAACAACAGCCTCCATGACATGAAGACGGTGGTGAAGACCTGGAGGAACCGGCTGCCCATTGTGTCTGATGACTTGTCCCACTGGAGCAGCATCTTCATGTGGAGGCAGCACCATTACCAGGGTAAACCGACCTGGTCCAGCATGCATTCATCATGTAATTGCCCAGGCGCCCCGCTGTGCTGGTCTTGTGTCTTTGTTGTTGTGTCCCCCCCCCCCATATTTTCTCCCTTGGGGTAGGCATGACAGATAGTGGTGGTAATAGTGAGGGAACAGATGATGTGGGGAAGAAGAGGGAAGTTTGGGGGGAGGGGAAGATTGTTCTTTTCTGTCATGCTTTTCTAGTTAGAATGGTTGCTGCCATTCAAGAGGCGCTGACCCCTGGTGTTCTCTGCAACCGTCTCTGTTCTTGGCCCCCGGGGCAATCCTTAGACCCTCCAGGCATGGAAGTGTTTAGGACTACCTTCGTGATTTGGTCATGTAGTGAGCTGAGTCGTAGTGCTGGACGCTTGTTTGTGCCTTTGATAGCCTGTGACATAAACGACAGAGGAAAGTAACGTGGGCTCATCACAGCTTCCTGTTTTCATAAACCATGGATGGTTTTTCATTTTTTTCTTAAGCCTTGTGTACCGCTGAAAACTGTATGGTGTGGACTGATAACTCATTCCTTTGCTCTCTAGCGATTGTAACTGCCTATGAAAATAGTTCTCAGCACGATCCAAGTTCAAATAATGCTATGCTTGGGGTGCATGCCTCAGCTTCGGCTATCATTCAGTATGGCAAAATTGCTCGGAAACAAGGACTCGTCAATGTAGCGCTGGATATCTTAAGTCGTATTCATACAATCCCCACTGTTCCTATCGTGGACTGCTTCCAGAAGATTCGGCAGCAAGTTAAATGCTACCTTCAGCTGGCAGGAGTGATGGGCAAGAATGAGTGCATGCAGGTAGGGCCCCAGGCATGGCCTCCCCTTCACAGCTGAAGGCGTTGTTATTAGCGCCTTCTCGGGAGGACTAGTGCTCTCACAGTGCGCTTAGTAGTGGCACAGCCCTATTCAAGATTGATTGTATGATAAATAGACATGGCTATATATATGGTCTCTCTTCTGCCATGTGCTTAATGTGTTTAAGCCTGCAGAATCATGAGGGTGTAAGTTAAATTGGCTATGTTCATGTTCAGAGGAATGTGTAAAAGAAAAAAAGAAAAATACCCTTTATTGTCTTAAGATTTAATTTTGATATTTAATGATTCACTTTCAATACTACTAACATATTCAGAGAAGGTGAGTCTGTTTTCAATTGAAGTGTATTTTTCAATGACTTGTCATACCCATTGCCTAGATAAATGTTTCTTTTGGGGGGGGGGTCGGTTGTGGGGCCTGAGCACTGTCCCTCAGCTCTTCAGCTCAAGGCTAGCGCTCTACCGCTTGAGCCACAGCGCCACTTCTGGTTTTCTAGTGGTTTATTGGAGATAAGAGTCTCACGGACTTTCCTGCCTGGGCTGGCTTTGAACTGCGATCCTCAGAGCTCAGCCTCCTGAATAGCTAGGATTACAGGCATGAGCCACCAGCGCCCGGCTTTAGATAAATGTTTTTGTGATATTTTTGTGTTACTAACTAGATATTTCTGGAACATTTTTTTCTCCTTCTGAATAGGGCCTTGAAGTTATTGAGTCTACAAATCTAAAATACTTCACAAAAGAGATGACGGCTGAATTTTACGCACTGAAGGGAATGTTTTTGGCTCAAATCAACAAGTACGTATGTGATGTGGAGGGAGGGTGATAGGAAAGTACCCTCCAGATTACTTCAACCACTTAGGGGCTGGAGCGGGCTTAAGCGGTGGGGTGCCTGCCTGGCAGTGGCACGTGTGTGGCTCAGGCCCTGCTGTGTGGTCACGTACACGGCAGCTAGCAGGAAGCTCCACTCATGGCTGGAGCCATTCTGGCAGTTGGCTCAGAATGGATTTTTAGGTGGTGTCAACCTTGGCACAGAGGGAAAATAAGGAGCCAGTGGAGACGCCAGTTGGTTATGTAATACTGGACAGTTCTTCACAGAGGACCTGCTGCCTCATGGACATTTTGAAGCAGAGTTGGCCTTTCTTTATGATAAAGATTCTTTTTGAGATGATGTCTTAACTGTGGCTTAGACCAGCTTCGCCTTCCTTGGCCTCATGATCCTCCCGCCTTAGACTCCACGTAGTGGGGACTTCAGGTGCATCCTCCACACGTGACTAAGAGATGATTCTTGTTTTAGAGCAGGGATTTAGAAGTGAACTTGCATTGGATCACATCCATACCCATTGACCTAGTCTGTAGCTGCTTCCACCCTGTGGTCCCCAAGTTGAGTGGTGATGGCAGACAGGGTGATGCTGTCCATGGCCTGCTATGTACTGTAAGTGCCAAGCTCTATGTGAGGGAAAGAAGAATTGGGTGAAGTTTATACATGGTATGAAAATGACTTAGAAGATCCTCATGCCCACTTTTTACATTTTAAGGCATAAGGATTGCATTTTTGGCTTATTTTTAAATAAAGAGGCAACTTTGTCACAAGGTATGTGCTTGAAATGGACAAACCAGGGGGATTTTGCATGTTTATGTTTCGAATACGTAGAGTCGTCACTGATAGCTAATTACACTTCCGTCCTCTCAGCACCCATTCTCCTTTCTCCTGACAGCCGTGTGCTTTCTGTCTGCCTATCCGGAACATTTGCATAAATAGTCTTAGACATATATGACCTTCTTTCACTTTCCAGGGTGTTCTCAAGATTCATCCAGGATATATCATTTGTTCTCATGGCAAATAATGTGTTCACACATTTTGTTCACCCATTCAACAGTTGCGGGACATTTGGGTTGTTTCTGCTTTGTAGCTATTCTGAGCAGTGTCTCTGTGAACGTGGTTGTGTGGGAATGTCTGGAGTGTTGCTGAGTCACATGCAGTGCTTCTGTCCAGGACTCCCCTAGTGCGTGCAGTCACGTCTTACTGTGGCTTTGACGTGTCTCTTCCTTAATGACTAACGATGTTGAGATTTGTCTCATGCGTTATAATTCTTCTGTTGAGCTAAAATTTCAGATACCTGATATGAAAGAAAGTTCCATATTCTCCAAGCTGTCTTTGCTTTCTTACCTTTTAATGGACAAAGATTTTAATTTGATGACATCTGCCTCATTTTCCTCAGATTTTTGGTGTCATCTAATCAACTGGTCACTTTTACATCTATGTTTTCTTCTAAGAGCTTCATGAATTGGCACTTAGGGTTAGGCCTTTTGACCTGCTTCAGCTTGTTTTGCATGTGGTGTGAGGCAGGGTCCAGATACACTCTGCTGTGTGTGGCTGGCCTGTTGTCTCAGCATCATCTGTTGAAAAGTTTTCTTTCTCCTTAAATTGCTACTTGAAAAACCAGCTGACCAGATACATATGGGTTTATTAGTGGACTCTGTTCTGCTTATCTGCAATTTGTAGTCCTTTATATTTTCTTACGAATCTTAAATTACTTTATCCACTTCCAAAGAAGAAAAGCAGGTGATGCCATAGATTCTTTGAATCAGCAGATCAGTTTGGGGAATGTTTTGTCAACGCTGCCAGGTCTTTCAATGCATGAACAGAACGTGTTTTTCTTAGATCTTTAGTTTCATTTAGCAATTGTTTTTCAATTTAAAAGCCTTGCACTTATTACATTCTTAAATATTTAGATTCTCTTGTTATTGTAAGTTTTCATAACCTCAGTTTTTTAATTGTTCACACATAGAAATACAGCTGATTATCTTTTCTTCCTTTGCCAGTCCTAGGGCTCTTGAACTCAGGGTCTGGGCACTGTCTTTTTTGCTCAAGGTAGTACTGTACCACTTGAGCCAGAGTGCCACTTCTGGCTTTTTCTGTTTATGTGGTACTGAGGAATCGAACCCAGGGCTTCATGCATGCTAGGCAAGCACTCTACCACTAAGCCACATTCCCAGCCCTTTTAACCGGTTTTCTGTATTGATTTTAAACTTTTCAACTTTGTTGAATTTATTTCTGCTGGTAGTTTTTGTTGTGTTATGTGGACTCTGTAGGGTTCTAAGAGTACTATAAGATCATGGCATCTGCAAGTAGAGCTAGTTTTTGCATCTTCCAGCTAGGGTACCCTTTATTTCTTGCCCAGTTGTCCCAACTAGAACCTTAAGTAAAATGTTGAAGTGATGAGATAATATTTACGTCTATTAATATGTGCCATTGATTTTTTTTTCTTAATGGTTAACCACTCACATGTTGCTAGCTAAGTCCCACTTGGTCAATAATCCTTTTCAGATGCTGCTGTGGGATAGTTTTGTTGCTGTTGGGAATGTTTATATTCATGAATAAGATGGGTCTCTAGTTTTCTTGATATGTCTCCTATGTTGCTGATGTGATAGTATTCTGTGGAAAACCGTTTCAAATTGACTGTCCACCAGAAAAGCCACCATAGCTAAAACAGGGAAACAGCACCAATGGAATAACCAAAACTCGGTATATATGAAAAGTGGAGTATAAAGTTCTAACACTCAAAAGATGACAGAATATATGACAGGGTTTATGTGCAATATAGAGTGAATAAGTCCACTGCCAGAGTGGCAGTGGCCAGTGCCTGAGTTGGTGGGAATCAGAGACTCCTTAGGAGGTGGCTATATGGCTGTGCTGAATGCTTCTGGAACATTTACTTCTCTTTGCTTGTTCGCTTGCTTTAAGGCATGATCAGGCTATAGAGCCCAGGCTTCCTCACCCTCCTGAGTTCTGAGGTTACAGGCATGCACCACCGTATCTAGCTTAGAATGTACATTTTGAAATGGCTAATTTCAGCTGGGTGCTAGTGCTGGTGGCCCTGAGTTCAAACCCAGGACTGGCAGAAAAAAAAAGTTAATTTCATGCCATGTGAATTACCATTTGGTTTTGTGTCTCCTCACAGGTCTGAGGAAGCCAACAAAGCCTTTTCCGCTGCTGTGCAGATGCACGACGTGCTGGTGAAAGCCTGGGCCATGTGGGGGGACTACCTGGAGAACATCTTCGTGAAGGAGCGGCAGCTGCATCTTGGGGTGTCTGCCATCACCTGTTACCTGCATGCATGTCGGCATCAGAATGAGAGCAAATCAAGGAAATACCTAGCCAAGGTGAGACAAAATATCTCGGCTTTGACCAGAGTCAATCCTGATGCTCTCGTGTGGGTAAAAGTCTATCTGCAGTGCACTAATTCTGTGGTAGGCAGAGGCCTGATCTCATGCTTAACCCCTGATTCCCATCACTCTCCAAAGTGTTTTCCCCAGTTCTGTTATAGCTGGTAAATGAGGGTTGGGCATCCTTAGCATCCCAGCACTTAATGAAGGCAAAACCTTGCCTAGATTCTGGTTCTTTGGACTCCATATCCAAGTGCTGTAGATGGCGTCACACTATCTCCAACACGGAAGAGGGCACGGGAGTGTGTCCCGCACACCTGCCAGACGGAGGCATCTCATTGGTGATCTGTTTGGTGCCCCAGGCCTGCTCCCCAAGTGCAGGGTGGGCGTTGGGTGTGCACTTGTCCCGAAGGATCCTGAGGTGGACATTCTGAGTTGGTATTCCTTCCTTTCTTCCTTCCCAAGGATCATATAAACTCAGAAATAATGCTTGCAGAAAATGTAGGAGTCAGTTGTCATTCCTGTTTTATGATTGAAGCTTGAGAGTTTAGAATTCCATGTAGTTAGCAGCAAATATAGATACCCAAACAGGAGACTAAACTACCTGACCTGAAGTTGTCTTCTTCTACTGCTTATAATTCACACACCAGACTCACCAGGCTCATGTTACCTGCTGCAGAATGATGAGAATTGTAGCAAAAAGCTGGCTTTTTTCTTTTTCTTTTTTTTTTTTGCAGGAATGAGACCATATATGTGAATGAGCAGAGCAGAGCTGGCTGGCCCTGGCCATCTGTTACTGCTTTACTGAAAGCCAACACATTTGATCAACTAGTGATTGCTATTAGAGAGAAAAATGATATCCTCATTTGAGGTTATACTTCACTATAAGATTTGAGCATTAAGTTTAGTGATAATATAAGCGCTCTGGCAGCTATTTTTCTGCCTGGCTACCAAAGCCAATCTACTTGAAATTTTTAAGTTGGAAAAAAGTGACTTGAGGGCTGGGAAGGTGGCTCAGTGGTAGAGCGCTTGCCTTGCATGCCTGAGGCCCTGGGTTCGACTGCCCAGCACCACATAAGCAAAAAGCCGGAAATGGCTCTATGGCTCAAGTGGTAGAGCGCTAGCCTTGAGCTGAAAGAGCTGAGGGACAGCGCCCAGGCCCAGAGTTCAGACCCCACGACTGGACCCAAAAAAAAAAGTGACTTGATGGAGGGCTTCAGAGTAATTGTTCAGTTATAGAACTTTCCCTCTGCACTAGGTGCTGTGGCTTTTGAGTTTTGATGACGACAAGAACACTTTGGCAGATGCCGTCGATAAGTACTGCATCGGGGTGCCACCCATCCAGTGGCTGGCCTGGATCCCGCAGCTGCTCACCTGCTTAGTGGGCTCCGAGGGCAAGCTGCTTCTGAACCTCATCAGCCAGGTGGGCGCTACTGGACACCTCTGTGCAGAAAATCATTTTGATTATTCTAGAAAGCCAAAGTCAAGGTATTGAAAATGGACTAAGAGATGGCAAGTTGTACGTGTTTGATTATCATTTAATATAAACTATGAATATTACTAAAAAGGGCGGAGGTATCGTGCATTTTTCAATAACTGCATAAGATTCTCAAGGCTGGGGTTGGGAAGGTGGCTCAGTGGTAGAGCGCTTGCCTTGCATGCATGAGGCCCTGGGTTGGACTCCTCAGCACCATATAAGCAAAAAGAAAAAAGCTGGAAGTGGTGCTGTGGCTCAAGTGGTAGAGTGCCAGCCTTGAGCTGAAGGGCTGAGGGACAGCGCCCAGGCCCAGAGTTCAGGCCCCACGACTGGACCCCCCCCCAAAAAAAAAAAAAGGAAAAGAAAAAAGATTCTCAAGGTCCTGAGGGTATCCCCAGCACCACAGAGAGAAACTGGATCTGATGCTTCTGATACCTGTGATTCAGACTCCCAGGAGCATGGGCTATGGCCCACCTGCTGCAAGCTGAGAACCTGCTGTCAATTGTATTTGTAATCCCCACACTTGGAAGGCTAGCTCAGTCAGGGCTGGAAATGTGGCTTAGTGGTAGAGTGCTTACCTATCTTGCATGAAGCCTTGGGCAATTCCTCAGTAACACATAAACAGAAAAAGCTGGAAGGGGCTCTGTGGCTCAAGTGGTAGAGTGCTAGCCTTAAGCAGAGAGAGGCTCAGGGACAGAGCCCAGGCCCTTGAGTTCAAGCCTTAGGACAGGCAAAAAAAAAGTTTAAGCCTGAGCCACATTGTGAGCTCATGACTAGCCTGAGCTCTGAGACCCTGTCTCATAACAGGAAGAGCAAGAAAAGGTAATGCTGAGTTCTGTGGTGACACACACCTCTAATCCTAGCCCTGAGGAGGCTGAGGCAGGCCAGCCTGGACCATATAGCAACACTTTGTCTGCAAAATAGTTACAGAAGAATCTGTAGGGGCTAAAATGAGGTAGGGAATAAAGCATAACAGTGTTAAAATGGTAATTTTGTTGCTTGCCCATCTTTCCACATAGGATGCAAGTGAAATGAAGTCCTTTTAAGATGTGACATTGCTGGGGCCCTGAGAAGTGAAATGGAATGGCAGGGTGGGGATGGAGGGCAGGAGGTGGTAGTCAGGTCAGCATTTTGCATCTGCTTTCCTATCCTGTGTTAGTTCTGAAACTGGGCAGACCTAAGTCCCATGGACAATCCTTTCCTAATCCTTGAGCATGGTTCCAGGGTGCATCTGTCTGCAGAAAGATCAAGGGATAAAAGAATGAAAACAGTAGAGGCTTAGGTACAGTTAGGCCTAGGGTGCACTGTACTATCCTGTTTGCTTTATATTCGTGTCACATGATCTCATCGATGAGTAATAGAGCAGATACGTATTCCAAATACACCATGCTCATTTGGCTTGCTCTGTGCATGTGAGCATTCTCCATTGTGGTTTTACTGTTCTGTCCTGACATTCTGCTTCGAATTCACCTGTCAGCACACACACCACATCCTCTCCCTCCCCCCTCCCCCTTTTCCTACTAGGATCCTTCTGGAAGGATCTGAGTAAGACAATAATGTCCACTCAGCCACTGGCTTTCACTTGGTAGCACTGGTGTTTCGTATCTTCAATAGATGTCTGACAATCTCTCCTTCCTACAGTTCTCCAGAATGGAAGTTACCTGGTGATGGCGCTAACCAATTTAGTTTACTGTTTGCAATGAATTGTACCTAATAGAAATATAAATTACCTAGTTTTATGGTTCTTTTATTTGAACAAGATCTGGGATGGGTTATCTTAGCCTTCCTCAGATTTACTGAATAAAATGAAGGTGTAGTTTCTCTGCTTGAGCAAATTAACCCTGGGTGGAGTGGGTGAAATGCACTTGTTGATTTGTCTGGAGTCTTTGAAAGCTAGTAACGATATTTACCAGCTATGTAATCCTGCCTCATATTTTCAGTCTGTGGCATAGTAATTAGTCCTTCGGTCCAGCTGCAGACCAGAAGCCCATTTTTTACTCGTCATTGGTTATTCTTGGTACGAGTTGTCTTTGCCCACAGTATGCAGGGGAGCTGTGTGTTCACACCTTCTTGTCTCTGATCAGGTTGGACGAGTCTACCCCCAAGCTGTCTACTTTCCGATCCGGACTCTCTACCTGACCTTGAAAATAGAACAACGGGAGCGCTACAAGAGTGGTATGTCTCAGCTGTGGCTGGCTATCTGGGCCCTGAAGGTTCATCCTTTGTGATGGTCCCAGGCCAGCCCAGACAAAAGTGAGAGACTAGCAGAAAAGAATGTACAGGCAGGATGGTGGCTCAAGTGACTAAGTGCTTAGAGACCTAGAGCTCAGTCCCTACTGGTAGGGCCAGGGCTAGGGGGAGGACTAAAAATGTAAGAATTTGAATCTATAAAGCGTGTTACTTTGCAAACAAGGAAAGAATTGTCTCATACTTGTTGTTCGCTGGATTGCAGACATGAGTCCCCACCAAGCCCCAGCCATCAGTGCTGTTACACATCTTCCTTAGGAAGACGCGGTTGGGATGTCTTGCTTACTTGAAAATTAACGTTTTATTTTTAATCTCAAAACAAAGTATAGAGAGCTGCATCCGGAAAATGGCATAAAGAGTTCCGCAATGTATTTCTCATTGAGAAAATATTTCAAAAATGTCATCTTACAAGTATACTTGGTTGGGTTTTTCCAAGAGTCCTTGAGCTTTAGTAACTAGGAATGCATTGTGAAATAAGTTTTCCAAATTTTCATTTTAAAGCATTGGAGCTTCTAGGAAGTGTAGAATGCCAGTGGTGCTCAGGGCCGCCCTTGCCTGGACTCTCGAAGGGTGGGGGTGGGGGTCCATGTGGAAGCACGGAGTCGATGGTGCACTCTTGCACCCCTCCCCCACCACTGGCCAGAACCAGGGCACCCCTCCGTGGCCTTGGAGACACAGTCTCCATCGGTGGCCCTTCCCACACCAGCAGGAACCCACGTTCCTTTCGCCAGTGGGTCCTGTAGAGCTCTCGGCTCGGTGTTGCTCGCTATGCGCTGACATTGGCGTTGTGTGTGTTGCTCTCAGATTCTGGACAGCAGCAGCCCAGTTCAGTGGGTAACCAGTCCCATTCTGCATCAGATCCAGGGCCCATAAGAGCCACGGCCCCCATGTGGCGCTGCAGCCGAATCATGCACATGCAGCGGGAGCTGCACCCCACCCTGCTGTCCTCTCTCGAAGGCATCGTGGATCAGATGGTCTGGTTCCGAGAGAACTGGCACGAGGAGGTATGCTCATGTACCTCTGGGATCTCGGCCGTGGAGAGCACAGGTCCTGCTGGATACTTCATAGCCATGTTGTCTTTAACTTCAGCTGTGTGGTCATTGCCTGTTAGCTGTGGACTGTAACCATGGCCAGGCTTGTACACTAGTTCAGCCTCAACCATGTGGGGCAAAGGCGTAGGGTGGAATGACCATCAGCCCTGCAGCCATTGCTGACGAGAGCCTTGAGTGAATGAGGAGGGCGGGCATGCGCAGCTGCGGCTGCACACATCACTTCCGCCTCTGTATCCTTCCGTGCAATCCCTCTTCCTGGCAGTCTCTGCTTAAACTGGCAATGAAATAGCGCACATGACTGCCGGGCCAGCTGGAGGTGGGCCTGGAGGCTTTGTGGGCACGCACAGACATGTGCTATGGGAACAGGACAGCTGCTGGAAACAAGGTTTCCCATGGTTGGACAGCAGGTGGGGCTGTGGATCGTGAAAAGGCTGTTTCCTGTTGTTGCTCCAGGTGCCCATGTCTGGGTGTGGTCCACGCAGATGAGCATTCTAAAGTGAACCTGGAGGGAGTCCCAGCGCGTGATCGCCAGCCTCTTTCCCGCCAGGCACTCACGCAGCTGGCTGATCCTCTGGCCTCTCTCCCACCAGGTGCTCAGGCAGTTGCAGCAAGGCCTGGCCAAATGCTACTCGGTCGCCTTCGAGAAAAGTGGAGCAGTGTCTGACGCCAAAATCACCCCCCACACCCTGAATTTTGTCAAGAAGTTGGTGAGCACATTTGGGGTGGGCCTGGAGAACGTGTCCAATGTGTCTACCATGTTCTCCAGCGCGGCCTCCGAGTCACTGGCCCGCCGCGCGCAGGCCACAGCCCAGGACCCCGTTTTTCAGAAGCTGAAAAGCCAGTTCACCACAGGTAAGCCGCGTACCTCCCTGCGCTGCCTTTACCTCTGGACACATGGCGTTCCTTCACGCTGTTCTCTTCCGGGCCAGCCGTGACTGTGCAGTCGGGATTTGGGGCTCAGCTCGGAGCCCCATACTTTCCCTCACTTGGTCAGTGCAGGTAGAGGACAGAATAGCCAGGGACACTGGCCACAGGACCGGGGAGGGGGTGAGGACCATTTCCATGACTGTTGCCTCTCGTTGCTCGGTGTGAGGGGAAGGAGAGTGTCCTCGGCGCGGGTCTGCAGCGCCCCCGTGCGCAGACGGGCACGCCACCCTCCCTCCACACGCCACTCAACTGTATTCTAAAACACGGCTTCCTTACTGACGCACTAAGCCTTTGCTTCCAAGACTCAATGTGTGAGAGAGTCTGGAGAGGAGGGGTATTGAAATAACGTAACAGCAAACCCCCACTGACTGTGATGCGCACTTCCAGTGCAGCCGTGGCTCCTCTGAGCCATGGGACTGGACAGTGGGGCCGCGTGGCCATGTCCTGACGCCCATGTGCAAGGCGGGTGCTGAGAGCAGAATGAATGACCCACCTCAGCCTTACACGTCCACAGTGGACTTAGACTGAGGAAAGGTTGATTTGAAAATAGAGTGTTAAAGCCAGGCATGGTCGTATGTGCCTGTAATCCAGCCCTTGAGAGGCAGAGTCAGGGAGATCCAGAGTCAAAGAGTTCAGGGCTCACTTGGGCTAAAGAATGAGACCCTATCATGAAAAAAGAGCAGGTGACGCACGACCCATGCCTGCACCTTCAGTGGCAGCCATCTTTTGTCATGGTGTAGACCTCCACCCTCCTCTGAGATAAAGGTTTTCTAGACTCCATCCTATTTTAACTGAAAGTTAAGTGGCTGGGCACTGCTGACTCACACCCATAATCCTAGCCACGCAGGAGGCTGAGACCTGAGGGTCATGGTTCAAAGCCAGCCCAGGCAGAAATGTCCATGAGGTTCTTACCTCCCATGAACCACCAGGAAACCAGAAGTGGAACTATGGTAAAGCACTAGCCTTAAGCAAAAGAGCTCAGGGACAGTGTCCAGGCCCTGAGTTCAAGCCCCATGAAGTCAGTAGCATTCAGGATCTTCCTTGAAATCCAGTCATTATACCAAATGTCACGTGAGTAGGACATTACATGTGGGGCAGAGTACCTGAAACTCGGAGAAATGAGCTCCGAGGATTCCCACCCGTCTGCACGCACGCGGCTAGGAGCTGCTCCACGCGCCACCCACATGTCCTCCGAGAGGCGGAAGCAACTTCCAGGGTGCTTCTGTGTGCTTCTGAGTGAGGTTTAGTGTAAGAGCTGGGCAGAGGCCTGTGCTTACTTAGAAGTGGCCGGGGTAGAAACCACTCTCCAGTCCCCCTTGGTGGCAGCAGTGGTGGCCGGGGCAATGTGTTTCGCTGAGCCTCAGCTGGGGCCGTTGGGAGGGCCAGTCTAGTGCGAGCCTTGTTGATGCGTCACACGTGAGCAGTGCAGAGGTGGGGACACGCAGTGCCGGAGGCGGAAGGTGTGGCGGGAAGGGGGGGTGGCAAAGGGGCCGGTGGAGTCTGAGGACACAGAGCACAGTTGAGTTCCTGTTTTCTTTGTTTTTTTCAACTCGGGGCCTCCATGCTTCTACTCTTTTTGCTTTAGTTACTTTTCTAGTGGAGTCTCAGGTTTTGGCGTGGGCCTGTGATCTTCTCTTTATACGGCCTACATAGCTAGCATGACAGAGTTGTCTCACTGTGCTCAGCGTTTTATTGATTGAGATGAAGTCTTGCTCACTTTTTGCTCAGGATAGGCTTGAACTGTGATTCTCTTGATCTCCACCTCCCAAGTAGCTGGGATTACAGGCATGAGCCATTGCACCTGTCCACACTTGAGCTGCTTTAGTGATGGTGGCTTATGGTTCCTCGTGGATACTTACCCCACACTCACAGTGCACATCTAACCAGCAGAATGTGAATCTGCCCTGCGAGCTGTGTCCCGGGCACTGCTGGTCCTGCCCTGTTCTGTGCTGGCACCAGATGCGGGCCATAGGGCAGAAGGGGGGGGGTATGCCTGGGACTTCCTTGGTGTTTCTTTGCAACCTGTTAAGGAACTGTACAGGTTCTAAATAAAAGTTTGAAAAAGGAATCGCAGAGCGGGCGCCCTGGAGCACTGCGGATGAGCCAGAGGCACCATGGCCCCTCTATCCTGCCTCTGCTCTGCCGAGTGCCGGCCTCTGGGGCTTTGAAATTGTAACCCATGAGAAATGCTGGGGAAAGCCAGGGCTGAGGTGCTGCTCTAAAATAGACCACTCGTTAGCGTGCCCCAGGCCCTGGGTTTAGCCACCGTCTCCCCCTTTGCCCCAAAACGAGAAAACAATGGAACCACGGCTGCCACTGGGGGAGGCAGAGGGAATACTGCGCCATGCATGGTGGCGCGCGACCTGGAACATGTGCACAGTGGAGCGCGGGCAGGCTCGGCCTCGTGTGGCTCAGGCCCGCTCCCCCTGTATCAGATCCAGAACCTCAGCAGGCTTCAGGACCCCAAAGGAAAAAGTGAGGTTCGGCACCCTGTGTGCTGAGGCAGCCCTCCCCGAACCGGTGCAGTGGGGCCTCTGTCCCCATTGCAGGCCGCCCAATAGCCACCTCTGGGTAGTGGTCTTGCAGGGGCTTAGCTATCGCCTGCGTGTCGCAACTCTTTCCAGCCATGTTTTTTATCTTGCAGACTTTGATTTTAGCGTTCCAGGCTCCATGAAGCTTCACAATCTCATTTCAAAGTTGAAAAAGTGGATCAAAATATTGGAGGCTAAAACCAAGCAGCTGCCCAAGTTCTTCCTCATTGAGGAGAAGTGCCGCTTCCTCAGCAACTTCTCGGCACAGACAGCAGAGGTGGAGATCCCCGGCGAGTTCCTCATGCCCAAGCCCACGCACTATTACATCAAGATTGCTCGGTGAGTGTGCCGGCCTGGCACGGCCACGGGCAGATGCTGATGAGGTGGCAGTGGCGGGTGCTGCGCCCCTCGCTGCCAGCCCACTGCCGGATCAGCTGACCTCGGCTCCAAACGGTGGTCTCCCCAAGCAAGGTGGAGATGTGGGCGAGATGTCCCGCTCATCTCCTGCTTCCTCGTGGCAGGTTCATGCCACGGGTGGAGATCGTGCAGAAGCACAACACAGCGGCACGCCGGCTGTATATCCGCGGGCACAATGGCAAGATTTACCCGTACCTGGTGATGAATGATGCGTGCCTCACCGAGTCGCGGCGTGAGGAGCGCGTGCTGCAGCTCCTGCGCCTGCTCAATCCCTGCCTGGAGAAGAGGAAGGAGACCACCAAGAGACACCTGTTCTTCACAGGTATGCACGCACCCCCTCTCCTGGACCCGAGTCCTGGCTGAGCTTGTGCTGTGCAGGGGATGCAGGCACGGTGGCTCACGATACCCTGGCCCCAAGTCACAGTCTGGAGCGCTGCGATGTCTTCCTGTCTAATCCTAGGTGGAATCTGTCATGAGCATAGCTGGGTGGAAGAACCCGCACTGTCCCTTTGTTCTTGGAGACAGGACCTCCTATATACCAGGCAGGCCTGAAACTCCAGATTTTCCTGCCTCAGCTTTTTGAGTGCGAGATTACAAGTGTTTGTTACCATGCCCAGCCTGGCTGTAAATGTGGTGTTTTCTGTTTTTTGTTTTGTTGGTCGTGGGGCTTGAACTGTGGGCCAGGGCACTGTCCCTCAGCTCTTCAGCTCAAGACTAGCACTTTACCACTTGAGCCACAACGTCACTAACGGTTTTCTGGTAGTTAGTGATCAGAGTCTCACAGACTTTCCTGCCTGGGCTGGCTTTGAACCTCAATCCTCAGATCTCTCAGCCTCCTGAGTAGCTAGGATAACAGGTGTGAGCCACTGGCGCCCAGTGCTGGCTGTAAATGTTAACATTTCAAAATAAGATTCAGGAAAGAGTCCCGCGGCGCGTCCTAGCTGTGCGCATGAGCATGTGTGCAGCGTCCTGTGTGGTGTCCCCCACACAGGCATATAGTGATGTCTGTGCCAGCAACCCTGGCCATGGTGGCACTCCGTGATGGTCCAGAGTCATCTTGGGAATGTTGGTAGGCAGCAGCCGGGGCAGCAGTGAGTGGCTGTGAGGCCAAGAGTTCTGTCTTCAGGTGCCCCACTGGCGCACGCTCCGCCCGCCTTCTGTCAGCTGGGTAGGGGCTTGAGATGGCCAGAGAGGGGGTTGGTCACTGGGCACAGATGAGGTGCACAAGCTGTGGCATTTTGGAGCCCTAGGCCACAGGGAGTAAGTGCAGAGCTGGAACCCAGCCTTTGTGGCTGTGGAAGGCAGGGGTGGAGGGATGCGGGTGGGTGCTGCGGGCTCAGTGCTCAGGAATGGCGAAGGCTGCGTGCATGCACGTGTGGTGGAGACCTCATGGAGAATGGGCGCCAGTGGCAGCTGCGGGGGTGGCTGTGAGCCGGGCTGGTGGGTCCAGTGCTGACCAGTGTCCCTCCATGCCCTGCCCCAGTGCCGCGGGTGGTGGCTGTGTCCCCGCAGATGCGCCTGGTGGAAGACAACCCCTCCTCACTGTCCCTCGTGGAGATCTACAAGCAGCGCTGTGCCAAGAAGGGCATCGAGCATGACAACCCCATTTCCCGCTACTACGACAGGCTGGCCACGGTGCAGGCGCGGGGGACCCAGGCCAGCCACCAGGTAGAGGGCACAGGGGACAGGGCTGCCCCTTCCCCCTTTGGGGCAGTGAGCTGGCTCCCCCTTTCTCCTGATGGGCTAGCACAGCACTCTGGCAGCTTTGGAGGCACCAGGCTTCACCATGCCCCAGCCTCAGACACTGAACTTCTAAACCCAAAATGCGGCAGACCCTGAAACACACGAGACCCAGCTGTTTGCTTCGCCTGAGCAGGAGCATGGTGCGAGGACAGGCCGCACCCCCGCCTGCCTGCGCACCCCTGCCCTTAGCTCGAGGACATGTCCGTGTGGGGTCCGTGGGGGGCATGTCACTGTCACCCTCGCATGCGTGCGAGGCTCACGAGCAGAGTGGGGCTGGCGCCGTGTCTTGCAGGTCCTGCGGGACATCCTGAAGGAGGTGCAGGGCAACATGGTGCCCCGTAGCATGCTGAAGGAGTGGGCACTGCACGCACTGCCCAATGCCACCGACTACTGGACCTTCCGGAAGATGTTCACCATCCAGCTGGCACTCATTGGCTTTGCCGAGTTCGTGCTGCACCTCAACCGCCTCAACCCCGAGATGCTGCAGATTGCTCAGGTAGTGCAGCGCTGCTCCCCAGCCGCACCCCGGCTCCGGGTTACTGAGGCATTTCACACACACACCCTCCCCCCACGCAGGACACCGGCAAGCTGAATGTCGCCTACTTCAGATTTGACATCAATGACGCCACTGGGGACCTGGACGCCAACCGGCCCGTCCCGTTCCGCCTCACCCCCAACATCTCTGAGTTCCTCACCACCATCGGCGTTTCGGGCCCGCTCACTGCCTCCATGATTGCCGTGGCCCGCTGCTTCGCTCAGCCTAACTTCAAGGTGGGTCTCTGGGCCCTCACTCTCGGATTACAGGTTCAAATGCACAAGCCGCCTCTGACCTCGGTGGCCGCTGACTGAGGTTGGTCACTGCCCTAAGGCTCAGGAGTCCTATGGGGCCGCTCCCTTTGCTGTGCTCCTAGAGCGGCATTTGCGGAGCCACAGTCAGGGTGGCTGGGTCTGCAGCCAGGGGCCCTGGGACCCAGGGTCGGGGTGGGGAGGGAGGGTGACAGCCTGGGATTGATGAGCCAGAGGAGCCACTTTGAGAATGGGGTTCCTTGCTGGACAGCAATTTGCACTTCGAGAAGGCATCAGGAATTGATTTGGAGCAACATGTACTCAGACCCGTCTTTAAATTGCATGAATGCTTATCCATACGTTGCATGCACTCTCAACTTATTTATTTTGTCAATCATGGGGCTTGAGAGAGAGCCTGGGCGCTCTCTGGGCTTTTTTACTCAAGACTAGTGCTGTACCACTTAAGCCACAGCTCAGCGCCACTTCCAGTTTTCTAGTGTTTTGTTAGAGATGTCTCACCCACTTTCCTGCCTGGGCTGGCTTTGAGCTGCAATCCTTAGATCTCAGCCTCCTGAGTAGCTAGGATTATGGGGGGCATATTCTCATTTTTAATGACTTGGAAAGGGAAGTGCTGAGGCTTGAACTGAAGGCTTCACCACTTGAGCCACACCTACCCTTTTGTTCTGCTTTTGTTGCTATTTTCTTTCAAATCGAGCCTTCTTATGTTTTTGCCTAGACTAGCTTGGACTATGATCCCCCTATGAGATGACAGAGGCACACCCCCTACCTAGATTAGGTTGAGATGGGCTCTTGTTTAAGCTTTTGACTGGTTCAGTTAGCCCTAACTGTGACCCTTCTGCTAACCACCTCCTAAGTAGCTGACATTACAGGTAGGAACCATCACCTCTGGCAAAGTGGTTTTTGGTTTTTTTTTTTGGTTTCTTGGGGTTTTTTTTGTGTGCTGGGATCAAACCTGGGCCCCATACTCCACCCCCAGCGAAGCTTGCTCCTTCCTCATTGTAATGCAGATGTCAAGTGGGCTCTCATGGCAAGTTCTTGTTCTGGTAGCAGTGTCCCATTTAGGGCTGTCGGGGCTGCTGCACACTGTAATTTTAGCTATTTGGGAGGATGGTGTATCTAGGCCAGCCCAGCCCAGGCCTGTGTTTGTAAGGCCCCTCGTGAGGCCTGTGGGACTCCGGTGGCCACCTCGCATGGTAGGTTTGTGGGAAGCTGAGGTTGAGATTGTGGTAGCTCAGGAGACTGTGTGGACTGAGTCGTTGCTTCTGTGAGTGAAGGCTGAAACAGGCGGGTTAAGGTCCACCTTGGCACGAGACTGTCTCCGAGGCAGCCAGGGCAAGAACAGCTGCAGGTGTGGTTCAGTGCTGCAGCGCCGGCCCAGCCGGTGCGAGGCCCTGAGTTCAAACCCTTGTGGTCCTTAACTGGCAGTCCTCAGCCCTGTGGGGTGCCCCTGATCCCAGACGTCCCCAGCAGACCTCAGCGGCCCTGTCCTGGAATGGCACTGCGCTCATGGCTGCCACTCTGGCGCTGAGGGCCATGTCCTCGCTGTTGTCCATGCTCCTCCTCCCTTCCCTTCCCCTCCCCTTCTGTCCCACGGGAGTCTGCAACCCTGGAGTCCAGGCACTGGGGAGGAGGGGACCTGGGGCTCCTGCTCACCGCTCCCTGGTTCCTAATGGGGGTGCAGGCTTCCTGCACTCTCAGGCCAGAAGGGAGGGGCACCCCCTGTCAGCCATCAGGGTGGGGGGCAGCGAGTCCTGACTGCTTCCCGCCCTGCCACGCAGGTGGATGGCATCCTCAAGACGGTGCTCCGCGATGAGGTGATCGCGTGGCACAAGAAGACGCAGGAGGACACGTCGTCGCCACTTTCGGCCGCCGGCCAGCCTGAGAACATGGATGGCCAGCAGCTTGTGTCACTCGTGCAGAAGGCCGTCACGGCCATTGTCACGCGCCTGCACAACCTGGCACAGTTTGAGGGCGGCGAGAGCAAGGTGAACACTCTGGTGGCCGCGGCCAACAGCCTGGATAACCTGTGCCGCATGGACCCCGCCTGGCACCCGTGGCTGTGACCCCACGCCCGCCGGTGGCCTTGAGTGGAACCCCCGCGCCATGTGGGCGGGCTGAGCCTCCCCCAGCGCCCTGCCCACACATGGCTTTTTAAGGACCCGGTTCTCGGCTCAGCCGAGGAAGTCTTTTTAATGGTGCTCTCCGTGGGGTGGGCCTCTCCCCACGCGCACTCCCGCAGGTGAGGCAGGGGTGCTGGGTGCAGCTGCAGGGCGGGGCCGGCTGCGCTCAGCCCCGCCTCCCCACGCCCCGCCTCCCCCGCGCTGCGCGTGGCCCCCCTCGAGCCCTGTAGACCTCGTGATCAATCAGTGTGCCCGGATCGATCCCCCTCCTAATTTAAGAAGAGCCTGTGGCGCGCGCCCCGCGGCTCTCCGTTCACATTTTTATAGCCTGGCTTTGAGAGCGCTCTATCAGCATTTGTACAGTGTGATTGTTTTTTAGAATAAATATTTTATAAAGGGGTTCGCGTGGTGCCTGCTGCTGTGTGTGGCTGCCTCCACCCCACCCCTGCCCGAGCGGGGGTCCCCGAAGCAAAGCCCGTGCCGTCCTGCCAGCCTCACCCGTGGGGGTCGGGAATGGCGCGGCTGGTCCGGGCTGCGGCGTCACACTTTCCACACTTGGGTCAACACGACCCAAGTCAGGCAGGGCCAAGGTGGGTGGGAGAGTCTTGTCTCCCGGTGCTGGAGCAGACAGGGTGGGAAGGCAGTGTCGCGCATGCCTTCCGCTCAGGGCACGGCCTGATGATACATCTGGCTGATGCTTGAGCAGCCACGGCACCCAGACCGGAGAACATTCCGGGTTCGGACGGGAATAGAGCCCCAAAGGAATGTGCGGGGCCGCCGGCGCCCACCATGGCTGGACCGGACACCCTGGATGGCGGCCGTGGAGTCGGCTGAGTGCCCAGGGGCTGAGCGGAGGCCCAGCCAGGACCTGGCACAAGGGCCTCGAGCACCTGGGAAACCACCATTGTCTGCCCCAGAGGACAGCGCTCGCCCCCAGGCCGGCAGCACACAGCAGGGCCCGGAAGGGTGATGCCCAGTAAGGCAGAGAGTCGGGATCCATTTCTAACCACAAAACCCTACCGCAGCCCAAGCAAGAGGAAAGTGCACACGGCACAGACTCACCAGACCAAGGCAGGAAACTTTTTCCCCGAAAGAACTGAAAGAGCATGCGCCAAGGAAGACCTGCCCGACGGGAAACGGCGGAACCTCCGCAAACACGCGAGGGGACCCAGAGAGCCTGCGGCCAAAAGCACAAGGAGAAAGGCGGAAAGCCCCGGATGACGCGATGACGCGCGGCTGGGCAGAAAGCAGACTGGCTGCTGGGAGGCGGAGCGCACGGGGCGTTAACGTTAACCGAGGGGCGAAAGGAAGGGGAGGCGGAAAAAACCGCCCTGAAGCTCAATCGGATCGAGGGCTCCACGCGCTGCAGCAACAACCAGGCAGAACGAAGGCGCCGCAACAAAAGCCGCCATGCGAGACAACGCCGCACGTGATCGTGAGTTTATTGCATGTGTAACAAAATGGACCCGGCCGCGCGCCCCGCCCGCCACGCCACGCGACGCTCCCAC